CTCGCGGTGTCAGTGTCTTCATCTCGTGGTGTCAGTGTCTTCATCTCGCGGTGTCAGTGTCTTCATCTCGCGGTGTCAGTGTCGTCATCTCGCGGTGTCAGTGTCTTCATCTCGCGGTGTCAGTGTCTTCATCTCGCGGTGTCTTCATCTCGCGGTGTCAGTGTCGTCATCTCGCGGTGTCAGTGTCTTCATCTCGCGGTGTCAGTGTCTTCATCTCGCGGTGTCAGTGTCGTCATCTCGCGGTGTCAGTGTCTTCATCTCGCGGTGTCAGTGTCTTCATCTCATGGTGTCAGTGTCTTCATCTCGTGGTGTCAGTGTCTTATCTCGCGGTGTCCGTGTCTTCATCTCGCGGTGTCAGTGTCTTCATCTCGTGGTGTCAGTGTCTTCATCTCGCGGTTTCAGTGTCGTCATCTCGCGGTGTCCGTGTCTTCATCTCGCGGTGTCAATGTCTTCATCTCGCGGTGTCAGTGTCTTCATTTCGCGGTTTCAGTGTCGTCATCTCGCGGTGTCCGTGTCTTCATCTCGCGGTGTCAGTGTCTTCATCTCGCGGTGTCAGTGTCTTCATCTCGCGGTGTCATGTCGTCATCTCGCGGTGTCCGTGTCTTCATCTCGTGGTGTCAGTGTCTTCATCTCGCGGTGTCAGTGTCTTCATCTCGCGGTGTCAGTGTCTTCATCTCGCGGTGTCAGTGTCTTCATCTCGCGGTGTCAGTGTCGTCATCTCGTGGTGTCAGGGTCTTCATCTCGCGGTGTCAGTGTCGTCATCTCGCGGTGTCAGTGTCGTCATCTCGCGGTGTCAGTGTCGTCATCTCGCGGTGTCCGTGTCTTCATCTCGTGGTGTCAGTGACTTCATCTCGCGGTGTCAGTGTCGTCATCTCGCGGTGTCAGTGTCTTCATCTCGCGGTGTCAGTGTCGTCATCTCGCGGTGTCAGTGTCGTCATCTCGCGGTGTCAGTGTCTTCATCTCGCGGTGTCAGTGTCGTCATCACGCGGTGTCAGTGTCTTCATCTCGCGGTGTCAGTGTCTTCATCTCGCGGTGTCAGTGTCGTCATCTCGCGGTGTCCGTGTCTTCATCTCGCGGTGTCAGTGTCTTCATCTCGCGGTGTCAGTGTCGTCATCTCGCGGTGTCCGTGTCTTCATCTCTTGGTGTCAGAGACTTCATCTCGCGGTGTCAGTGTCTTCATCTCGCGGTGTCAGTGTCTTCATCTCGCGGTGTCAGTGTCGTCATCTCGCGGTGTCCGTGTCTTCATCTCGTGGTGTCAGTGTCTTCATCTCGCGGTGTCAGTGTCGTCATCTCGCGGTGTCAGTGTCGTCATCTCGCGGTGTCAGTGTCGTCATCTCGCGGTGTCCGTGTCTTCATCTCGTGGTGTCAGTGTCTTCATCTCGCGGTGTCAGTGTCTTCATCTCGCGGTGTCCGTGTCTTCATCTCGCGGTGTCAGTGTCGTCATCTCGCGGTGTCAGTGTCGTCATCTCGCGGTGTCAGTGTCTTCATCTCGCGGTGTCTTCATCTCGCGGTGTCAGTGTCTTCATCTCGCGGTGTCAGTGTCTTCATCTCGCGGTGTCAGTGTCTTCATCTCGCGGTGTCAGTGTCTTCATCTCGCGGTGTCAGTGTCTTCATCTCGCGGTGTCCGTGTCGTCATCTCGCGGTGTCTTCATCTCGCGGTGTCAGTGTCGTCATCTCGCGGTGTCAGTGTCTTCATCTCGCGGTGTCAGTGTCTTCATCTCGCGGTGTCTTCATCTCGCGGTGTCTGAGTCGTCATCTCGCGGTGTCAGTGTCGTCATCTCGCGGTGTCTTCATCTCGCGGTGTCAGTGTCGTCATCTCGCGGTGTCAGTGTCTTCATCTCGTGGTGTCAGTGTCTTCATCTCGCGGTGTCCGTGTCGTCATCTCGCGGTGTCAGTGTCGTCATCTCGCGGTGTCTTCATCTCGCGGTGTCAGTGTCGTCATCTCGCGGTGTCAGTGTCTTCATCTCGTGGTGTCAGTGTCTTCATCTCGCGGTGTCAGTGTCTTCATCTCGCGGTGTCAGTGTCGTCATCTCGCGGTGTCAGTGTCTTCATCTCGCGGTGTCAGTGTCTTCATCTCGCGGTGTCAGTGTCGTCATCTCGCGGTGTCAGTGTCTTCATCTCGCGGTGTCAGTGTCTTCATCTCGCGTGTCAGTGTCTTCATCTCGTGGTGTCAGTGTCTTATCTCGCGGTGTCCGTGTCTTCATCTCGCGGTGTCAGTGTCTTCATCTCGTGGTGCAGTGTCTTCATCTCGTGTGTCAGTGTCTTTCATCGCGTGGTGTGCAGTGTCTTCATCTCGCGGTGTCAGTGTCTTCATCTCGTGGTGTCAGTGTCTTCATCTCGTGGTGTCAGTGTCTTCATCTCGCGGTGTCAGTGTCTTCATCTCGCGGTGTCAGTGTCGTCATCTCGCGGTGTCAGTGTCTTCATCTCGCGGTGTCAGTGTCGTCATCTCGCGGTGTCAGTGTCTTCATCTCGCGGTGTCAGTGTCTTCATCTCGCGGTGTCAGTGTCTTCATCTCGCGGTGTCAGTGTCTTCATCTCGCGGTGTCAGTGTCTTCATCTCGCGGTGTCAGTGTCTCATCTCGCGGTGTCAGTGTCTTCATCTCGCGGTGTCAGTGTCTTCATCTCGCGGTGTCAGTGTCGTCATCTCGCGGTGTCCGTGTCTTCATCTCGCGGTGTCCGTGTCTTCATCTCGTGGTGTCAGTGTCTTCATCTCGCGGTGTCAGTGTCGTCATCTCGTGTGTCCAGTGTCTTCATCTCGCGGTGTTCCGTGTCGTCATCTCGCGGTGTCAGTGTCTTCATCTCGTGGTGTCAGTGTCTTCATCTCGCGGTGTCCGTGTCGTCATCTCGCGGTGTCAGTGTCGTCATCTCGCGGTGTCCGTGTCGTCATCTCGCGGTGTCCGTGTCGTCATCTCGTGGTGTCAGTGTCTTCATCTCGCGGTGTCAGTGTCTTCATCTCGCGGTTTCATTGTCGTCATCTCGCGGTGTCAGTGTCGTCATCTCGCGGTGTCAGTGGTCTTCAATCTCGCGGTTTCAGTGTCGTCATCTCGCGGTGTCAGTGTCGTCATCTCGCGGTGTCCGTGTCGTCATCTCGCGGTGTCAGTGTCGTCATCTCGCGGTGTCAGTGTCTTCATCTCGCGGTGTCAGTGTCGTCATCTCGCGGTGTCAGTGTCTTCATCTCGCGGTGTCAGTGTCGTCATCTCGCGGTGTCAGTGTCGTCATCTCGCGGTGTCCGTGTCTTCATCTCGTGGTGTCAGTGTCTTCATCTCGCGGTGTCAAGTGTCTTCATCTCGCGGTGTCTTCATCTCGCGGTGTCAGTGTCCTTCATCCTCGCGGTGTCAGTGTCTTCCTCTCGCGGTGTCAGTGTCTTCATCTCGCGGTGTCAGTGTCTTCATCTCGCGGTGGTCAGTGTCTTCATCTCGCGGTGTCAGTGTCTTCATCTCGTGGTGTCAGTGTCTTCATCTCGCGGTGTCCGTGTCGTTCATCTCGCGGTGTCTTCATCTCGCGGTGTCAGTGTCGTCATCTCGCGGTGTCAGTGTCTTCATCTCGCGGTGTCAGTGTCTTCATCTCGCGGTGTCTTCATCTCGCGGTGTCTGAGTCGTCATCTCGCGGTGTCCGTGTCTTCATCTCGCGGTGTCAGTGTCGTCATCTCGCGGGTGTCTTCATCTCGCGGTGTCAGTGTCGTCATCTCGCGGTGTCAGTGTCTTCATCTCGTGGTGTCAGTGTCTTCATCTCGCGGTGTCCGTGTCGTCATCTCGCGGTGTCTTCATCTCGCGGTGTCAGTGTCTTCACTCGCGGTGTCAGTGTCTTCATCTCGCGGTGTCAGTGTCTTCATCTCGCGGTGTCAGTGTCTCATCTCGCGGTGTCAGTGTCTTCATCTCGCGGTGTCCGAGTCTTCATCTCGCGGTGTCTCTGCATTCTTGAGCTGACAGATGATCAGGCAATGAAAGGACATCAATAGGGTATTGGTTATTACATGTATATATGCGGAGCTTTCAATTGTCAGCCCCTTGTATGCATGGTGGATTTTCTCCGGCTACAATTCCTGCGTCCACACGAAGCCAGACGTTCATCATCCAGAATGGAAATGGCCAATCATTGCCCCGTAGCAGGTAGCCTCTTGAGTAAAAAAAACAAGTCTGGGTAAATAAGGACATTCTCATACCTGGAAACCCCTTATCAGTGCCTAACTTGTTACAGACCAATTCAGACCGTATTGATCAACCCGTGCTCTTATAAATCTCAACGTTTATCACATCACAGGGAAGAAACACAAATAGAGGGTGTTTTGCCCGTATTGCAACGTCTGTGCGCCATATGGCCCTGAAAACTCAATTCCCCTGTAAAAGAATACGGCTAAACCGTAACGGGTTGCCAGAGTATGCATTCTTCCCAATATGACAGAATCGGTCCATGGCTCGTGGGGGGCTCATGGCTCGTGGGGGCTCTGGTCGCGCGAGGTTCGCGTTCTGCCGGCGCCCCTGGCGGAAGCGCGGCGGTGGCGGCGGTGAGACGCCGACACGGCGCGTCTCATCGAAGACGCTGCACAGACACCGCTGGACACTTGCGCGCACGCACACGGAGGCGTCTGTGTACACAGTCTATATAGACTGTATGTGAATATATATAGACTGTATATACACAGTCACCAATCCATGCCCATCGCCCAAAATTCCCTCCGTCTCAGCGACGTGCCCTGCCTAAAAGCCCGTTCACGTCCCTTCAATGCGGTGGCCTCAGTCGCACGTCTCGTGCCCTCTGCTCGCCCTCCCTATGCTGTCTCTCAGCGCGCAAATCTCGGCCCAGTCCCCTCGCACGTTGCGTGTTCGATTTGGTTCCGTTGTCATCAGATGCCCCCCCCCGCCCCCACAACAACATTCAGCCATTAGCTGCCACGACTTCGCGAAATTCGGCTCCCCATTCGAGAGGGGCGCACGAGGCTGGCCGCTCATGACTCCCCGAGCCATCATCTCGTGTGCGTTGCGGCTGCCTTCTCTTTGACAGCTTGAGACGGACGGGACCGTGACTGGGGCTCGACGGTGATGACGACGACGACGACGAAGAAGGGGGTCAAAGTTGCCCCGGCTGCCACCCCGATGCTGGGCCCCACGCAGCCCTGCACCCGTGCCCGGGTGTCGAACCTCGCGAATCCGCGCCCGGCGGCCGCCGCGGCCTCGTGCGGTGCCGCACCTCCTCCTGCTTCTCCTGCTCCTGTCCCGGGCGCCAGGGGCGGGCAGGGCCATGCCGCCCTCGCAGCCCCAACAGAGGGCCCACCCCCCTCCATCCCTCGTGGGCCACGTGGCGCCCCCTTCGTGGCGACCTCTCAAGGCCCCCGGCACGGCAATACCTCACCTGGTGAGGGCCCCCGCACCGGGTGGGGGGGCGAGGGGGGCCGCGGTCGGGGCCCCCCTGACCAAGGGGATGAAGGCGTCCCGCTCGGCTCAGGCCATCGGCAGTCTCCTCCTGATGCCCACGTCGGTGCTGCCCAAGGTGAGGGCTACCGGGCCGCGTGCATCATCATCATCACCATCATCAACCACAACAACGACCACAACAACAACAACCACCACAACAACGATTACACAACAATCACAACAATGACCAACAACCACAACAACAACAGCCTGCGCTCGGCCACTGTGTCCAAGCGAACGACGGTATATCTCTGAGTTCTCGTGTAGACGAAGCACCACGCACGAGGATGCTTCAGTTGGAGAAGTTTTAAGTCGCCCGCACACCGACCCCGGCTCGTGTGTGCCGGGGTTTGGTCAAACGTGCCCGACCCGCCGCCTTCAGTCAGCAGTGGATGAAGCTTGACGTGGCAAAGCGCGTCAATGACGAGCGGATCGGACGCGTGTAACGCCCTCGTGGACCGCATCTGCGAGCACCCAAACCCGAACTCTCCCCTCGTGCCTCCATGCCGTGCGTGCTGCATTCTCTCGCAAACAAACATCTTCCGCAAATACTCTCGCATTTTCGAAACACAGCTCACGAAAAAAAATGTCGCAAAATAACTTCTCTGTTGTTACAAAGCGCCGTCTCATCTCTCACAGCATCTCTCTCGCCACACAAAACAAAACGCCTCGCTAGACCCCTCATTACCCAACGCCGCGACATCGCAAATACACATCAACAGACTCGAGGCGAGGCTCACTCACGACCAGCAGCCGGGTCTGATGATACTCGAGGAGGGGGGGGGGGGGTGCAGGTATCAGCGAGGTATGTGCGCACCGCATTCCTCGCCGCAGTGCCGCATGAAGCCCGCTTATCTGATCCCGGGGCCCCGCTGCCAGTTGGAGAGGGGCCCCAGTTGGAGAGGCGACCGCTCCCGGAGGTTGTGGACGGGCGAGCAACTGGCGGGGTCTCCACCTCTCCCAGGTGATCGATTCGTTCATTTAGAGAGGGGCGTTTGGTTTGCGCTAGAGCCCAGGCAGGCGCAGGAGTTGGTCCCGAGACCGCCGCCGCCAGCCCACCGCTCCGCGCTGCTTTTGGCAGTCGCAGCCTCGCTCGCCGTGACTCATCCTCGGCCAGGCACAGCGGCCGCAGGTCCGGGGCTTTCCACTGGAGTCGGCAGCGCCGGCTGCCCGCAGGCCCAGGCCGGTTCGGAACCTGCTGGACCAGGGACGCGGTCACGGGCCCGCAACGTGGGCCCCGCGGATTATGGGCGCGCCCACGAGGGGGTCGCGGCTGCACCGTGCGGCCACGGCCGTGAAGCGTTCCGCCTTGGCCAATCGTCGGTCGCGTGCTGCGCGTCGTAACGGATCCGCTCGTAACCTGCGTCAATATCAAATCGATTCAAGGCGGCTCGAGATGAGTGGAGAGCGCGGTTCTTACTCTGTGGTTTACACACAGACGCGGGTGGCACTCACCTGTACAGGTAAGGGTGGCCGCGCTCACCACTCAACTCCTGCTCACCACACTGCACTCACCACTCAACTCCTGATCACCGCACCGCGCTCACCACTCAACTCCTGATCACCACACCACACTCACCACTCAACTCCTGATCACCGCTCCGTTCATCATTCCGTTCTCGTCATCACACCGTGCTCGCCACGCTGCACTCACCACTCAACACCTGCTCACCACACGGCGCTCACCACACCCACACCGAATCTCACCCCAGGCACGGAGCAAGAGCGAGGAGAACTTGCTGACAACAGCAGTCGCTCTTGTTGCTGATGGTGCGATGGGAGGTGATGGTGGTGCTGCTGGCTGGTGGCGGTGGTGCCGAGGTGATCCCTGGGCCCGAGAGAGACACTCACCGAGAGATCGAGGGCGCCAGAGCCAAGGCAGCCGTCGGTAAGCACCGTGACACCGCTCCCCCACCTAACTTTAGAGTCGATAATAAAGAGACACAATAAATAAACACGTGTATTGTATATGCTAAAACTTCACACACGTGCGGGACGGCCCCCGGCACGGGGTCCCTGGGCATGTGGCGGACCCGAGGCCGGGCCGTGTCAGGAGCGAGTGCCCTCGCGTCGAGTGAGATACAGAATCTTTTACGATCTCTATTTAGACTGGGAGGAATCCGATGAGCTATGAAGGTTCCTGTGTGCGCACACAAACGGGCGCAAAGAAGCGGGGAGAGATGAGAGGCCTGGACGGTCGTTGAGGAGCAGGAGGAGCGGCGTGTGGATAGATGGCAGGCAGGTTGGAGACGGCGACTACCCAGCGGCAGGCAGCGGTGAGGTTGCGCTCGAGGGAAGTCCCCTGCGGAGATGGAGCGACGGAATCGACTCGTGTGAAGGATGAATTCTGACATTGTGAAGGCCTTCATCCAGCAGTGGATTAGTCGTAGTTATAATCGGTTGTGAGTGAGATGCATGTTATTCATCAGATCGATTTCCCAAAGCCATAATCGGTTGGAATCCTCGTCCCGTGTTTTGACGTCCCGACTCAGTGTGTTCATCGGCGGCGCGCGTGACATCCACAGCAGTGATCGTGAGTGAGTGAGTCGCCAAAGACTCGGACAAACATCCCAATGCGGTAGGGACCCTCTTGGGAGGGAGTCTTGAGACTCGTTGACGAGTTGCTGGGCAAATACTCTACGCGATATTACTATTATTATACCCTTTTTGTTACCGAGCAGACTTTTGGAAAATAATAATGTAAGAACGCGCCAAAAGCAACTAGAATTATAATCGACAAGAAAACAAACATGTCCAGCATCGCGAGGAGCCGCGACCACCACAACGCTCCCGTGCGGGAAATGAGCTCACAGAGATAGCCGGGCGCCCCCCAACCCCTCCCGCCCCCCACACTGCACGAGGCCAACGCGAGTTGGGGGCTCGGTGCCCCCCCCCATCCCACCGCTGGGCGGATGGGACACGGGTCCCGGAGAGAGGGCGGTGGAGTCTGCCTCGTGTGGAGGGGCGCGAAGGAGATGTTTTTAGATGGCGGGATCGTGAGATACGGCGGATGATTTAAGAGGCGTTATCCAGAAGTGGATTGACCAAGGCTGCTAGTGGGGGGTGCAGGGTGTCACGGTGCATCGGTTACACGCGCGACCCGTGTTACCCGAATGGCCCGTGATGACCCCTGCTACCGGGGGTGGATCCAGGTAACCCGTGTTGACCCGTGTTGACCCGTGTCATCCTATTGACCTGTGACGACCCCGTGAGTCCCGGTTGACCCCTGGTGATTGGAGATGGCCCGAGGTGAACTGCCCCCGCCTCTCCTCCTAGCCCCCCGTAGCCCCCCTCGATCCTCCCCATCGTCCCCCGTAGCCCTCCCCCCGCCGCCCCTTCCCATAGTCCCCCCGTAGCCCCCCCCCCCCCG